AGCTGTTAAGAATAAAGCTACTATTAACATTCACCTGAAGGTTTTTCTGTGGACATAAGTTTCCAGATCTGTTGGTAAATTACTTTGGAGCACAATTGATTGATTTTTGGTAAGACTATGTTCATCTTTGACTCCAAAATGACTGTACCATTTTTCATTTCCATCAATTAGAGTTTCTGTTGCTCCATATGGTTGCCAGCATTTGGTGTTGTCAGCATTTTTTGAATGAGCCATTCCAATAGGCTTGTATTGGCACCTCATTATTGCTTCAGTTGCAAATTTCCTGATGACATACAATGTTGAATATGTTTTCATATGCTTACTTATTACATTGGCCATGCCTTTCAGGTCCAGGACAAGGTTCTACAGAAGACAATACACGGTCTGAATTCGCATGCAGTATATGGTGTTCTTTTATTTTTCTTTTTGCAGCCAGGACTCAAGGGTCCAGGAATCAACATGTGGAAATAGGTGTGGTGCCACTCACTATCTCCCCTGATGACCCAGTAACAAAATGTTTGCTCCCTGTTCTCAATATTTTATGATCTGCTGACCTGGAGGTGTCATTTCTGGAGAGAGCAATGTTTCTATCAGAAGATACGACAATGATTTTATTGATCTGGAAATTAAGACTGCCATATGTTCACTTTGGGTTCCTCATGCCTTTGAATCCACAAGCAAAGAAGGGTGTTACTGTGCTAGCCGGGGTGATTGATCCTGATCATCAACAGGAAATTGGACCACTGCTTTACAGTGGTAGTACGGAAGAGTGTGTTTACACAACAGGAGATCAATTAGGCTGTCTCTTAGTGTTACTAAGCAGGCGACTGAAGCCAATTCAGATAGGACTACTAGTGACCCAGACCCTTTAGGAATGAAGGCTTGGAGGCCATCAGATAAAGACCCATAACCAGCTGCAGTGCTTGCTGAAGATTAAGGAATACGCAATGGAAGAAGAAGCTTCAAATATAAGTTATCAGCTCATGACCTATTACAGACACGAGGACTGTTATTTTCATAAGTATTTCCTCATTTTTTACGAATATGTATGTGGGTGTATATGTGTGTATATATTTTTCTTTCCTCTCTCACTTCATTATCACATAACATGAACTATATAGACTTCATATTATGCTGTGTAAATTTTGTAATTTTACACGATGTGTCTTAGTCCATTAGTGTTGCTATGAAGGGATACCTGAGACTGGATAATTTTTTTTTTTTTTGAGGCGGAGTCTCGCTCTGTCGCCCAGGCTGGAGTGCAGTGGCGCGATCTCGGCTCACTGCAAGCTCCGCCTCCCGCGTTCCCGCCATTCTCCTGCCTCAGCCTCCGGAGTAGCTGGGACTACAGGCGCCGCCACCACGCCCCGGCTAATTTTTTGTATTTTTTAGTAGAGATGGGGTTTCACCGGGTTAGCCAGGTGATCTCTTGACCTCGTGATCCGCCCGTCTCGGCCTCCCAAAGTGCTGGGATTACAGGCTTGAGCCACCGCGCCAGGCCGAGACTGGATAATTTTTAAAGAAAAAAAATAAACAGTTTATTTGGCTCATGGTTCTGCAGGCTGCATAAGAAGCATGTCACCAGCATTTGCTTCTGCTAAGGGTTCCAGTCTGTTTCTACTCATGGTGGAAGGCAAAGCGGAGCCAGCATTCAGAGATCAGCTGACAAAAGAGTAAGTGAGGGCCAGCGAGATGCCAGACTCTTTTTAACAATCATTTATTGCAGGAACTAAAAGTGACAACTCTCTCATTCCCATGAGAATGGCACAAGACATTTGTGAGGGATCCACACTCACAACCCAAATATCTCCCACCAGGCCCTACCTCCAACATTGAGGATAAAATTGCAACATGATTTTTGAGGGTCAAATAGCAAAGCTATAGCATTATAGTATTTCACTTACAGGATAGCAAGAGGAGTAAATGTCACATAAGGGCTTTACTTATTCTGGGAAAGGGACTAGTGCATTTTCAGTTGTATGTGGGACAATTTTATTATGTTTGCTGGAATTGTAGTTATGTTACTGCATTTATTTAAAGATTAAGTATGTTTTAGGGAAATGCATATGGGTGCCAACTTGACAACATGTGCACTTATGATGGTTAAATTTATGTGTTTGTCATCTGTATTATGTCACTGAGTGCTTAGATACTTAATTAAATATTATTTGTGCATGTATCTATGAGGTTGTCTCTAAAACATGTTAGTGTTTGAATTCATAGAGTGAGTAAAGCAACTCATTCTCCCAAATGTGGGTGGACATCATCCAATCCATCAAGGGTCAGAATAGAACAATGTTGCAGAAAATGACGAATCTCTAACTCTGCCTGCTTGAACTGGGACATCAGTCTTCTGTCCTTGCAATGGCGCTATTGGTTTTCAGGTTTTCAGACTTACGCTAGTATTTATTATATCAGTTTTCCTAGTTCCAAGGTCTTTAGACTTGGACTGGAACTATACTGTCAGTTTCTTGAGTCTCTAGTTTACAGGGAGCAGTTCTTGGGACTTCTCAGCCTGCATAATCACACAAAATAATTCCCTGTTTGGATGGATGGATGGACAGATAGATAGATAGATAGATAGATAAATAGATAGATAGATAGATAGATAATAGAGACATACAGATCTATCTCCTATTGGTTATGTTTCTCTGAAGAACCTTGATTAATATATCTTCACTTTTCTGATGGGTATAAAAGAAATTGTTGATTTTCAAATTGCTCAGCTTCTTTCTTGCTGTAAGTATGAGGTATAATGATTTCCAAGGTCTTTCCATATCTGAGATGAAAGCAAAGTCTTGCTCACCACATTCAGTACCAAATATATAGTTTCCTGGTCATTATAGGAAATTCATAAATACTTACTGAATGACTGAATAAATAAATTAATGTATTAGAGGAGATAGGATTAAGAAAATGCTAAAAGCTAGGTAGTGAGATATACAAAATATATTCAAGGAAATAAAAATATGTATAGTGATAAAATAACAAGGAGCTAGAAATAGGAGGATGGGAAAAATCTATTTCAAAATGATGACTACGTCATGGAGACATTGTCAGAGCTACAACTTAAAGTACTTGGCAGGGTAAGTTAAGGGGTTAAGACTTCATTTTATGAGTTGTGGAGACTCTTCAAAGGCCTGGGGACTCAACATGATCTGAAATATTATTTGTTAAACATAGATTTAGTGGGTTTTATTTGGAGAAATGATGATCAGAAAATCATTTGGGAGATTATAAACAGAATAGAAGATGATGACGGTGTAAGTTAGGGTATCATGAGTATCAAGTGAAGTATAATAATTCATGTGATATTTAAGAAACAGAACTAATAAAACTAAGAGATGGAAGAAAACAGGGAAAGAAAGGTAACCTAAAATATTAATAATAACTTCTCAGCTCCTTAGACATTGGGTTAGAAGCTTAGAGATCATTGAAACTAGAAATATAAGATCAAGTTCAAGTTGAGTTTTGGGGTGGTAGATATACATTCAGTTTTATACATCTTACTCTTTTAGTATTATTTTGGATGTAAATGTATAAAGCTCAAAAAACATATTTGGGCATAAGATTGAGGTTTGAAGTCATCATCAGATATTAATTGAAGAAATGGAATAACGTAAGAAAGAGCCTTGTCAAATGTTACAGTTAAGACATTGAAAAAAAAATGAAATGATCCATGAAAATAGAGCTTATGAGCTCTTCTATTTAACAAAAGGAGAATAAAGGGGAAAACCAGGTGAGGACATAAAGAATCAAAATAACACAGAAAATGAGAAAAGGAAATAGGTCAGGAAAAGAATTACCTGTAGAAAATGCTGCTTACTAAGAGACCTGTTAAAGTTAATTTGGATTCAACAGCAAGGAAAGTACTTAACAGTTTTGCAAAGCTAATTTTAGTGTAAAAGCAAGTGTGCAGTGAATTGTCAATTATTTATACGGTGATAAATGAAGCTAGTAACTATAAGAAACAGTATACTAAGGAGGGAGACTCATAAAGTAGAAAAGTAGACTTGGGTATGCTTAATGTGGATAAGAATGTCAATTAGAGATTGAAATATAATTTAAGCTTTTAAATGACTTCTGATTAATACCTTCTTTAATGACTTCTGATTAGATATATATTGTAATCATACTTTAGCAGTAGTTGATTCATTTAGTCACTTTGTCATCCTTAAAATTCTATTTTCACTTGGGCTTAAGAAAGCATACATTGTTTTTTAATCTTATTTTGCCTCTTAGTCCTTGCTGCTGATTTTCCCTAAGATTTCTGAATTTTTAATGTTAAGGTATATGAAGGACCAATTCTTCAATCTCCTTTTCCCTACTCATTCTCATTGCTGTGTTGATTTCATCCAATGTTGTGTCTTTAACTTCTATTTATATATAATTATTTCTTGAAACTTTTCATTTAGACATTCTCTCTAAAATCTAAAATCACATATAAAACTAACCACTTAGCTTCTCCACTTCGATGTTTTAATAGTCACCTTAATTATACTATAGCAAATACTTTGTGAGATTTTATGCCAAATCTCTTCTTATGGTCTCAGCAAATGACAACTACATCCATTCAGTTTTTCATGCAAGACCTTGAAGTTATGATTGTTCTTTTCTTTTTCTCCCCATATAATAATAGCAAATACATGAGAATCTTGTTGGCTCTTTGTCCTGAAAACTATGTGTTCAGAATCTGACCACTTCTCATAATCACTAACATTATCATCAACATCATACTACATCTAGATTAGTGAAGTAGACCAAAAAATATAAACAAAGATTTTCATGGAACCATTTTTGTAGTATTAATGTCCATCACAGTTGAAGAAATAGTTAACTTGTGGAATATTCATAAATTGAAGAGATCATGGCAATGCAAATTCCACCAGACACTATATGGAAGAAGGTCATAAAAATGGTGAGTAAAATAAAATAAAAAATGCAATATAATTTTACTTTAAAGTTCAAAAAGTGTAAAATTTAAAATAAATATTGTGAGACCTGGCTGCTCTGCCCCGCGGCTTGTGCGCGCTTGTGGACCGCGCGGGCCTTCGGGAGATCGATGCAGGCCTGGGGCAGTCTCCTTTCTGGACTGAGAAGAGAAGAATGGAGAAGAGCCCCTTCCCATTAGTGCCTTTGCATTGGTTTGGCTTTGGCTACACAGCACTGGTTGTTTCTGGTGGGATCGTCGGCTATGTAAAAACAGGCAGGGTGCCGTCCCTGGCTGCAGGGCTGCTTTTCGGCAGCCTAGCTGGCCTGGGTTCTTATCAGATGTCTCAGGATCCAAGGAACGTTTGGGTTTTCCTAGCTGCTACATCTGTTACTTTTGTTGGTGTCATGGGATTGAGATCCTACTACTATGGAAAAATCATGCCTGTAGGTTTAATTGCAGGTGCCAGTTTGCTGATGGCCGCCAAAATTGGAGTTCCTATGTTGATGACATCTGATTAGCAGAAGTCATGTTCCAGCTTGGACTCATGAAGGATTAAAAATCTGCATCTTCCACTATTTTCAATGTATTAAGAGAAATAAGTGCAGCATTTTTGCATTTGACATTTTACCTAAAAAAAAAAGACACCAAACTTGGCGGAGGGGTGGAAAATCAGTTGTTACCATTATAACCCTACAGAGGTTATAATGAGGATGTAACATGAGCTTATTGAGACCCTCATAGAGATCGATTCTTGTATATTGATGTTGTCTCTTCTTTCTGTATCTGTAGGTAAATCTCAAGGGTAAAATGTTAAGTGTTGACATTGAGAGCCCTGAAACCCCATTCCCTGCTCAGAGGAACAGTGTGAAAAAATAGAGTATTTGTTCTTTTGCTCATCTTAGACCACAGACTGACTTTGAAATTATGTTAAGTGAAATATCATTGAAAATAAAGTTTACTATAAATAAAAAAAAATAAAAAAATTAAAAAATTAAATATTGCTCAGGAGCGCATAACTATGTAGTGAAAATATCCAGTTAGGACTTCTACTTCCAGTCATAGCATAGTGACTGCTACTGGCCTCAACTTTCTACCACAAAGAACTATGTATAAAATTGGACATATGAGGAGAATGCTTTAAGGAAATTCTGAGAGACAGAAAACTCATGAAAGAAGAGGAAGCGCTATATCACTTCCATTTTTTTTTCCTGGGAACAATTTTATGACTCCAGTGTGGACAGCTGGAGCCAAAGAAGACATATATATTTTTTAAGGATCTGAGAATAAAGGTACTGAAGTGGCTTGAATCATAGGGTCAAGTCAGCACAGAAGAGATAGTTAAACATTGTGGGGATCCAGAAGTCTATGTCCAATTTCCCTATGTGTCTTTGTACCCAGACTTGACTGTATATATGTAGAGTTTATCAGAGATTATCTGTCATGGTGATAAAAGGAAAACAGTAATGCTAGGAGTACATCAGTGCTCAGAAACATTGTTCCAGCTCAGCCAGGCTGGAGATATGTCATTAATACCAAACTCACAAAGCTGATTAGCGAGAAAAGCTATACCTTGAGAATAAGGAGCAAACCCTAGAGGAAGGTCTGGTCAATAGTCATAGAAACTAAGTAATGTAGTTTGGATAAGCGTCCCCACCCAAATCTCATGTTTAATTGTAATCCCCAATGTTGGAGGTGGGGCCTTGATGAAAGGTGATTGGATCATGTGAGTGGATTTCTCGTGAATGGTTGAACAATATCCCATTGCTGCTGTTCTCATGATAGTTAGTTCTCATTACCTCTGGCTGTTTAAAAGTGAGTGGCACCTCCCCCGAACCTTGTTCCTTCTTTCGCCGTGTTATATGCCTGTTCCCCCTTTTCCATCGACCATGATTGAAAGCTTCCTGAAGCCTCTTCAAATGCAGACACTTCTATGCTTCTTATACAGCTGCAGAACCATGAGTCAATTAAACTTCTTTTCTTTAAAATCACCCAGTCTCAGCTATTTCTTTATAGCAATACAAGAATGACCTAATAAACTAGGTAAATAAAAGCCAAATCTATAAAGATTTTGGAAGTTTAATAATACAAAGTTAAAAGAATTCTGAGCTTTCCACAAATCAAACATAATAAACCATCAAATGAAAGGTAATCAAAATCTATATTCACAGCCAGTAATCGGACTACCCACCAAAAACAAAAATTAAAACTCTTTGGAGGAAATAAGGGAATCTAGAGCTCATATATTATCCAAAACATTTTAAATACAATTCAAAAATCACTAGCCATTAAAAAATAGGAAAGTACAACCAAAAATAAAAATGGTAGTCAATATCATCCAATTGCAAGATGGCACAGATGTTAAATTTTGTATAAAAAGATGTTTAAAAATGAATATAAATATTTTCAAGGACTTCCAGGAAAATATGGTCCTTATGAGTGAAGAGATAAATAAACTAACTCGAGAAACTAAAAATCAAAACTAAAATGTAACCAAATAGAAATTTTACAACTAAAACTAGAATAACATAAGTAAAAATTTCCCTAAAAGTGTTTTAACAACAGATAAAAGATAGTAGAATATGGTATAAGTGAATTTGAAGATAAAACAATAGAAATAATTCAACCTGAAGGACAGAAAGTAGATGTATTGTATTAATCAGGGTTCTCTAAAGGGACACAAGTAATAGGATATACAGATATAAAGATGTATATAGATATAGATATAGATATATGGGATATCTATATATAGATATATGGGATATCTATATTTATCTATATATAGATATATGGGATATCTATATTTATCTATATATAGATATATGGGATATCTATATTTATCTATATATAGATATATAGATATAGTCGGGGTTCTCTAAAGGGATACAACTAATAGGATATCAATATATCTATATCTATATATCTATAGATATCTTTTTAGATATATATATTATATAAATAAAGTATAATATAAATAAAATAGTATTAACTCACGATCACAAGATTTCACAATAGGCTCTCTGCAAGTTGAGGAATATGGTAGCAAGTACGAGTCCCAAAGCTGAAGAACTTGGAGTCTGATGTTTGAGGGCAGGAAGCATCCAGCACAGGAGGAAGATGTAGTCTTGGAGGCTAAGCCAGTTTAACCTTTTCACGTTTTTCTGCCTGCTGTATATTCTAGCTACTCTGGCAGCTGATTAGATGGTGCCCACCCACATTAAGGGTAAATCTGCTTTTCCCAGACCACTGACTCAAACGTTAATCTCCTTTGGCAACACCTTCGCAGACATGCCCAGGATCAATACTTTGCATCCTTCAACCCAATCAAGTTGACAGTATTAACCATCACATGTATTGACAAAAAGGTAACAGATACTCAAGGTCATGTGGAACAATACAATAGTGTAAAAATTACATATAAGTGGATTTTCAAAATGAAAAGGGAGAATGAAACAAAAAATATTTTAATAAATGGTTGATTTCCAGTTTTGATTTTTGATTCCCAATTTTGATTATCACTATAGTTTTTTAGAAGGTAGGAAAGTTAATACTGACTTCAGCATAAGAAGTTTAATTCTGAGGGCTCAACTTGGGATTCTAACCATTATACACTATTAGGGTAAGACTCTTCTGTTCATTCTACACTATATGTCATGAATTATGAATACTGGTTAGAACAGACACTGTCAGCATGAAGTGCATGCTGGGTACTGTCTCTAATCTTTTTGGGTTGTTGTTTCTCTGGCCTTGGATTGTTTGCTCATACATATACACTTATAATTACTCTGCTGAATAGTCCAGGAGGACCTTCCGGATAAGTCCAGAATGCCCACTTTGTGCAGCTCCCTCCTACCTGTACTCTATCCTATGAACTCTCGTTGCTTGGTCTTTCTAAATTTCTTCCATCTCTTTAAGTCTGCAGTCTTCCAGTCTTCGCTTTTGTTCCCTCTCTCTGCACTGCACCCTGGAAACTCTATCAAGGCTGTAAAATAATGCAGTTATAGAACTTCCATCATTTTAGGGTTTTCCTCCCATCTTAAGGGATCAATATCACATGTTTTTTGATGGTCAGTATCTTGAAAATGATTACTTCAAATATTTTACCCAGTTCTTTTGGTAGTGTTAGGCAGACTGAGAAATTCAGTCTTTGTTACTCTATATTGACCAAGAGCAGGAATCTAGGAAACTTTTATAATTTAAAAATGAGTATTATTGGATACAGATAAACCATTAGAAAATTAAAGCCTGTTAACCCACTGATAAATATGGAATATTAAAAATAAGTATTTATTTAATCCTAAGTAGTAATAAAATAGAGGAGGCACAAGTAAAAACAAAATTCACAGAAAATAAATCCAAAATTATCAATAATTACATCGAATGTTAATTGACTATATGATCCAATTAAATGTCACAAATTATTAAATTAGATTAAAAAAGAAGGTCCAGTTATATGTCATGTTTATGTTTAAAGATCTACTTTGAATAGAAATTTGTAAGCATGCTAAAATTATAGACAATTTTTTTTTAACTAAACAGAAGTACTTTTTTGGAAAGTTAAAACAATATTAAACAATTTGATCAAAATGACATTAACAAATATTACATTTAATAATTAAAGAAAACACTAATTAAAGTACACAGAAAACTTTCATAAAGATAATCTGTGAGCTGGGCTATGAAATGATACTCAATGAATGTCAAAATTCTGAAATTTGACAAAGTATGTTTAGAAAATGGAAAAGTTCCTTGAAAAAAGATAAAGAGAAGCATTTCATCATTTAAAAAAACATTAACCCAAAGAAATCTGCAGGGCTATACTGCTTAATTCATGGATTTTATTAAACTTGAAGATATTAAAAATACTACTAGTCATGCATAAACTCAGAAAACCTAAAAGGTTCATATAGCTATATTAGGAACTCAATATTTATTTTTATTGAATAAATATATTTAATAACATAAATAATTATATATATACTTATGTAATGAAACTTAGCAATGTGTACTTCTCTCTGTCTCTCTCTCTCTGACTCTCTTTGTCTCTCTCTCACACACATGCTCACACAAACTGAATAAATTTTGACTTTGACCAACAATTGGTCACTAGTTCTACAGACCTATTCCAAACCTTCTGAGTTTGTAGAGTCATCAAATAGGCCATTGTGTTGTAAAAAAACACTAGTTGTTCTTTATAATCTGTAATGATTATTTTGCGTGCTTGCAGAGTTTCACTTTTACTCCACAATCCTGAATACTCAAGCAGAAAAGAAGACTATATTAGATTATACATATGCCATGATAAAAGATACATTCTATATTCACTATGGATTTGAGATTACAATTAGTTCTCAATAGGCATTAAATAATAATGTGATGCAATACAATCCCAATTATACACACAGCAGGATAATGAGGACTGCTCTCTGGGGAGAATAATCCATTCATTAATATTGTGCATTATTTGCTGATTCAGAAAAAGAATGTTGCTTTTTAAACACCTTCTGAAGAATTTGCCTTTTCTTTCATTACTAAATGCAACTGTATTTCACAAACTAAAGAATTAATTGATAAAATAACACACAATTAAATTAATTGGTATCTCAGAATCACATTAGACAATGTAGATGTAGATACAAATTA